GAATTGTTGTATCTTTCCTCAGTGGAATGTATCTAGGAGACCAATGGACTAACTGCTTACTTTGTGGCTTTTTATGTATTACATATTGTACTGATGCCCTGCTTCCAACAACATACACATGAAACACCTAGGTACTTAACACATCTGGTCTGATGTAACTGGTTGCACATTTCAAACTGAAAATGTACAACACAGGGTTGGAAGTGTCCTGACCTTTAATTCTGCTCGCTCTCTTCTGTTTGTCCCTGCTCATATTACGGAGGAACAGGTCGCAGCAATAACACATTTTCTGAAAAGGCCCTTAATGAAGTTTCACTTAGGAAACCCTTGATTTTCTGAGGGAGTTTTCTTAAGTGGGGGGGGGGGGGGTTTAGTAGTTGTTTCTATGAGATTGTAAGGTGTGTATGGTTTCTCCCTTGTCTCTATAAACTGGCAATGCTCTATTTGTGGGCAAGTTTAGTGTCTTAGTGTGAAACAGTTAAAGCCATCCTGCTTTCCATAGTTCAGCTTCCTTTATTTTTAGCATCTTGGCTGCTTTTACTGTCTCAGCAGTGACTTTAGGGCATTTTTAAAAGGTGATTGCAATACCTGAAAATCTAATTGAAAACAAAGCCTCGAGAACCCAGATATCTTTTCCATGTTTAGTATATGAAAGGCTAAAAAGTGATTTTACCACATAATTTGCATCTTTGAATGCAGTAATGGCATAATCATAACTAGTACTGTAACACTCCAAGCAATAAGGTAGCAAATTTGTACCTCTCTTGATTTGGCCTGACAGGCTAGTGAAAAAGTCCATAAAGCTGGATGTCTTTTTTTTTAACCTAACAAAACAGTTATGCTTCTGCACCACCCAGATGCAGTAATGCTAGTTGAGAAGGTGAAAAGAGTTTTTCACTCTCTGCCTCTGCCGCCTCCCTTCCCTGGCCAGCCCTAAATAGATTAGCTGTGGGGCTGTGAGCCCACGTTATTGCTTGGACCGCTGGGGGGAGTGGATGCGGTTCTCCTGGTTTAACCATGAGGGGAAAGGATACAGTTTTTATCTAACTACACTCTTGAAAAACTTAATGTCTCTATGGCAAACATTATTTCATAGTTCTTAAATGTCACGTATAGTTAATTTCTGGGAAATGTTGAGGTAATGTCCCTTTACCAACAGCCATCTAAATTTTTAGAGACTGACTCGGCTATCCTCTAAAAGGTTTATTATCAGTGGGGAATACCTGGAGAGAAGGAGGCGAGAAAAAGCAAGGGAGGAGTCCTTTAGTTTGGTTATTTAATTCCACATTTAGGTAAATAAGAGCTAAACCTTCTGCATAAAGTGAGGATTTGCAAGCCAGAGGCTTTTCTCTGGGAATCTATCTCCAGTCTACAAACATTTTAATCCTACTCATTTCAAGTGCCCTCACAGCACACAAGGAGAAGAGCAGGGACATAACTTGTAGGCAGCAAGGCTTGGGATGATAAGGGGAGTTGCAGACAAGATACATAAAGGTGTCCCTTGCTCACATCCCCACTTTCAATACTCCTTTTGCCTTAGGCAGGGCTAATTTTTTAATGAAATGATTCAAAGTGGTGTACCAGAATTAAAAAAAGGACATTTCTAGGCATCAGTTTTCACTATTGTATTACACTGGCAATAGACATTAATGTTAGGCATCTCCTTCCATACAAAATTAGTCCCGGATTCGAAGCACACGCTTCAAAAACTTTATATACACTAAACATAAGTCACAATTGGTGAGGCAGATTCTGCAGGATGGTTGGGGGGGGGGCGTTCAAGGGAGTCACCAAGCAGCTTGATGCAGAATTAGTGCCACGGCTTGTTTATCAGCTGGATCCAAGCAACCCCAGCCGTACTTCTGCACCTAGTGAGCCTTGCACTGGAAGCCTCCTAACAGCAATTCTGTCACTGCTTGGTCCAAACTCTTTGATCACCTACGGTGATTGAATTACAAGCTTTTAAATTTAACAGGAGTACCTTGTATGGTCACAAAAGAAAAGCTCACAACTCTTATTTAGAACAAATAACTCATATTTAGTTAAACATCCCTGACAAAGGACGGCAGAGGCTTACTCTGACTGTAAAACTGGAGCAGACAGACCGCAGGGGATATAAATACAGGCAGGCCACATACGCAATTCTAAATCTTCTTTGTGAATAAATGAAGACATAATTTGAGCAATAGGCAGACTGATTCACACACCTGTCTGTGCTGTGCCTTGGGCTGGACTCCAGCACGTGAGAGAATATGGTAAAGTAAAGCAAAGCCCACAGGGGCTGTAAAATAGAGGAAAGGTCCCCCAGGGAGGAGTTTTGCAGTCACTTTTAGCGGCACATCAGCCAAGCCAACTGTGAGCCAGAATGCTAATATGGGCTTCTTAAGAGGCTGGAGCATCTTGATTAACGTGCTGCTGTAGTTGGGTCTGTGAAAAGCCTTTACAGGGAAGAGCTGGAAGTCACAAAGTGCTGCCAGAGAAGCTTGCTTTTGGGGAGTTCTGCAGGGAGTTTTAACTAGAAACAGGTTGGATGTTTGGGTTTGGGTTTGGTTTTGCATTCAAATTTGCCTACAACTTAGGTGTATCAGGGTTTCATTCCCTCCTTGTCCTTTTCTGTCCTTGGCTCATACGAGTGAGCATCTCTGTCCTCCCGCTCCTCCCCTTGCCCAGCCCACCCCAGCAAATCTGACTGTTTCCTCCTCTGACCCTCTCCAGATTTCGTTGCAGCTTCCTCCCTCTTTTCAATCAGAGCTTCTGTAAGCAATCCTCACCTGAATGAGGAGACCTGTATCGAAAGTCCTCTTTGGTCAGGAGCAGCAGAGCTTTGCCATTCATCTCAAAAGTGTTGCTCTCAATCGGCCTCAAGGAAAACTCCTTCTCCGCCCACCTGAGCCACTGTGCCACATCATCCCTGCTCCAGTAAACGGGCTGCAAACCTGTGGCAGGAAGAGACCATGATTGTGTTACCGAATTGAGACAAGGCATGGGAATATAGGCAATATATAATGTGCGAAGTCTCACGGGAAGGTGTAGGAGAGGAATGTCACATTGATGCAGGATTACTCTAAGCACTGGACTGTGAAATACTTCATTAGTTTAGGCACACTGGTTTATCTATGACATGTTAAGAAACAAGAACCGCCTCAGCATCCTGAAAAAAGCTTCTAGGACATCATTTGATTCCAGGCTTCCACTATGAAACGGGATTTTCCTCCAACTGCTCCTTCTGAGGTGCAGAGCAGGAAGGAGGCAAAGTCCTTGGCCCCATCCATCCTCAGTGTGTATCTTCCATAGAAAAGAGGTGTGCTCTCTCTTCATGCCCCTTGTAAAGTCATCAGTCAAGAATAATGAAAAGTAATCAGATGCAAGAAAGCTACGGCCATACTTCCCTCTGGGCAGCTGGGGTCTGTAAAGAAGGGCTGCTTCACACAGCCTCTGTAACAGTGTGTCTGGAAGCGGTTATCACTGTGGGTATGGTTGAGAAAGGTGTACTCAGATTGGCCCACCCCTCCTGCAGATGCTATTCCCACACTGAAGAGGAAAGTAAGCGCTGAGGCTGCGGCACCGTTAGCACTGCTTTAGCTTGTGTTTCCTGTACAGCAATAAACTATTACCAATGTAACTCTGTCCATATAAGGCCGGTATGCCATTTCACAGTAAAATAACAGGTATGTTTAGTTTGGGCACAGATTTTCCAGGGCTCCGAGGAGAATCTGGCACTCGCTTTCTCCCAGCCAGCTCACACAGCATACACAGCCTAGACTACTGTGTTTACTCACAGGGGCCCAACCAAGTTACCATGAAAGTCAAAGACCTTTTGCCTGCTACCTTTATTGGGCCCAGGCAGAGAGTCTTGGGAGGTGTGACAATTCAATCTGTTTTACAGACAAATTTAAAATAGCTTCCTTCCCCTGGAGAGAAGTCAGCACAGGGAAGAGCTGTTTATACCCCAGTAGAGAGATTATCTCCAATCCACTGGGAGATAAAAGCTTTCTTTCCTTTTCCCTCTCGTGAGGTGACTCATTGTTTGACTTGCTACAATGTGTTGCGTAGAAATGAAAGCTTCATACTGCGCATAGGAACATAAAATTTGCCATATCTGATCAGATCTCTGGTACACAGCCTCTGGCAGGAGCTAATACCTTATGCTTCAGAGGAAGACGAACCTCCCTTCCTCATATTGCACCTGGCTGATTGTATGCCGCACATGGGAAGAAATTTCCTTCCTGGCACACCATTCTCCGAGATCTGATTACCCTCCTCCTACCAGGCACTAAAAGAAACTTGTACTGCTCTGTTTTGGTTTGGTTTTTACTCCTTTAACAGATAGGCAACTCTTTTTTCTGTTTGAGCAAGAGGTCACATGCAGTGAATTGCATTCTGCTGCTATGCCAGATTCCCAGACAGCGGCTTTGGAAAGTCCCAGAGCCACAGCTGCATACAGAACTGAATCTCAGTCGGAAAAGGAATTGAGATTGAGCCTGAGAAAGGGTCAGAGCTGACCTAAGGAAGGGACGTCTGCATGGCAGCAGCGAGAATTTCCATTGGCTTTCAACTGCCCCTGTAGCACTGTATTATGTGCCACACAGAAACAAGCAGCAGCATTTATTTATTTATTTATGAAGAACTGAAATTCTCTTCCACCTATTGAATCAGGGTCTGATTACTGGGGTCAGAGTTTTCTGTAAGGCCTTTCTTTTTGAAGGGACTGGGGTGAGGTGTAGATCTGCTCAGAGACATGCGAACCATCATCTAAAATGCCAGTGAGGTTCATCTTCTGCTAAATACAGGGTTATTCCTGCAGAAAACACACTCCAGACTCCAGGTTGCTCCTGGGAAGCATGCACATTTACTGCAGCTAAAAGAGAAAGAAGTCAGACTTGATGCAGCCAGACCACAACTTCTGAAAAGGTTTAAAAGACCATCTGAAGAGTGCTTGAAATATTCATGCATGGTTTCTTTTGCCTCCTCCTTTGCCATGCCATGCAAGTAATAAAATTGCCCAAAGGAGCACTGTCATGTGGAATCTAACTGGACTTCTGATGCACACTTCACAAGATGAGGCACAAAACAAAACAAAACATCACTGGGAAAATCAGGCAGTCACAGACAGAGCTATATGATAACTTCACATGATGTGCTTGCTTCCTTATAGATAACAACATAATAAATAAATCACTCCCTGTACAAACATAGATCAACGTTCCCACGTGCTGGTAACAGTGTATTTTTGCCTTCCATTCAACTGATACAAAAGTACTATGTCTAGAGAGAGGTTTAGATTGATCAGTGCTAGACCCAGAACAGCCAAATAAGCTACACAGCTGGCGAGAAGACACGTGGTGCTGTGCTGGCAACTCTGAAACAGACTCAACGCGTCACCCTGCAGATCAGGTCTCTGCTTGGTTTCAGCAGCATCTCCGAAGCTTGTGAAAAAAGCCCCATAGTAGTATGGCCTAGGACCACTTGGCTTCTCGTTACTGAGAATCAGCAAGCAGCCTTTCTAATTCGGTTTGGCTATCGCTAAAATGAGTGGGTGGACGCGCCACATCTCTCCACCCATGGGGTGATACCATAATTAAATACTTGCATTGTGTTTGGAAGACATAAAGTGCCATAAAATACGTTAGCTGCTTTTCCCTAGATGGATTGCCTCTTCTCTCATTTCCCTCCCTCCCTGCCCTGCTGCTTTCCTGGGAAGTTAGCTCCTCCAAAACCCCCTCTTAATTTGCCTGCCTCCACTGCATGTCCATTTGCTTTGTGAGGCTGAACCAGTTCAGTCGCAGGAGGCTTTTCTGGGGGTGCAGACCTGTGTTGCTGAAAGTGCTTCAGAAACCACCATTCAAAAAATAATTCTTTCATGTGCAGCACAGCATTTACTAAACTTGTATCCCATCTTCTTTGCCCTTTCTTAAAAAGAAGCAGTTGGTTTTGTGAAAACAAGGGCATGAGAGGGTTGGCTTTGCAGCTGAAGGGATTTTACAGCACAGCATATGTAGCTATCAGTAGGTCCTGAAAATGCTTTCCTATACTCTCCATGAAAGAAAAACTAATCCTGCTTATACAATTTTTCTTTTTGGGATGCTGTTTCTTATTTTTCTCCTCTCCATCTTCTCTTTTATTGTTGTGCCCACGGTGGAGGAAAATGGGCTCTTTTTATCTCCAGTTTTATTCTCTGTGAAAGCTAACAGCATTGTCTTCAACTAACAAAGATATTTACGAAGCAGAATAAAGTGAGAAAAATGAGTGCTGTGTTACAAAATGAGGATAGAGTTTTGCCTGCTGCACTGACTGCTGAAATCAGTGGGACGGCTTTGCTGCTTTCAGTAGGTGTGGATCAGACACAGGGGATGCTGCCTTTGTCCCAGTCTGCCCTCTCGATGGCCAGCGTCACCGTGGACTTCAGAGGGTGAATTTTGACCTGGGAGTCGGACCTGGCTCCGCTCCCATCTGTGCCCTTGCTCCGCTGGCCGAAATATGGCATGTGTTCCCAATGCTCCCTATCTGTGAAGTGTAAAAATAAACAACAAAAACTTCTTGAGCTGAATAGCTGAAAGCAGGTTAGACAAAGCCATGTAAACCATCAGAATCAAGCTCTGCAAGATCCCAGAATATTCTTTAGTCTGTCTTCTGTCAGCTTCCAAGCACCACCTCCAGCAGAGTAAAATACAATAATTTATAGACACGTTTATAATCTGACAGCTTCATATGCATTAAACAGGGAGCAAAATTCATGCTCACCTTTCTAATGCCGCAGGCTGGCACACTGGTGTCTTAATAGATTATCTACTTCTGTTGCTTATTCCTCACCTGAAGTCCTGTTTCTAACACCTGTTACACTAGCTACCGTATAAATGGTGAGAGCGATCAATGCTCATGCTCCAGGGCACAAGCTGATAACCATCTGGACTGCAGAAGAAATCCACTCTCTGTTCCTTTCTATTCTTGCCAAACAAAAACAAGTACAACGAAGAGGGGCTGACGGGGTAATTTATACCTTGAAGTAGCCAGTAAACTTGTTTAGATATGTTTAAGCACTTCCACACATAGATGCAGGCACGCAGGCATGCATGCAACAGAATGTATCGGTTTGTGGAAGAGGAGTTTAAGCTAATGGTCTCTAGAGTTCATTCCTTTTGACAGTGAACCCCTCAGGAAACTTAAGCATGGTCAGGCTTTGAGGTTGGAAAAAAAGTGCTCTGCTCACCTAGTATAACCTTCTGCACATAAAACTACACAGCCAGTAATATTTGCATCTGACCACAAACTTCTGGTGGGGATACAACTTTGTTTTTTGAAGAGATGTAGCCAACTTTGAATCTTGCAAAGCACTTGTATCCAGTATTTCTTTCTTTGCTTTAGAAGACAGGGTGTGCATTTTACAGTATGAGTTGCTATGTATGGTATATGTAATAGATACATCTAAAATGTGAAGTATACTGTAGGCTGTTTTCACCTTGACTCATTTTGGAACAATCCGAAGACACAAATCCAGTGCAAAGTTTGATGTACACTACCACTGAGAGCTGCTGTTCCGTTTTAGTTTCGATATGAGGATGCAGCCACACGACAGCATGCATGATGGAACCAGCATTCACAGTAAGTTTCGTCTAACTTTTTGTTCCACTTCGGCCGGGCAGTCCATCCTTATGCCTGGCTGCCTGGCAGGCAGGATGATGAGGCGAGAAGGGGGTAAAGACCTCTCATTTATCCCTGCTTTCTGTAGGGCAGACAGAATTGTTCTCACTCCCACGCCAAAAACTACTTAGCGCAGTTGGGCAAACAGCAAAGGGGCCAGTGCATGCAAATCAGCAGCTGGTTTCCAAACACCCAGGGAGAGATGCATCATCACTGGCGGCATCAGGCAGGACAGCTCTGACTATAGGACAGTACTTGAGCCTTTACTGGGAAAACAATGCTGGAGAGGTTCAGAAGA